CCAGTCATCTAACCAGAAACCCTGGTTAGAAACCCCCTAGTTATTTTGCTTTAATTAAAGGGAAGTTTACTTTAGTTTACTATTTTCCGTCCTATTTATAGTTTTAATTTGATCAACTTAACATACAAAGCACCTGCAGTCCCACAGTGTGTGTTCATCTGTCATGCAGATGTGACTTGACACTTAATTAAGATGTTGGGTGTGTATGTGACCTGCAGTCAAATAAGCAGCCTGTCTCATGCTCTCTCATTTGGTCTGAGAGTTTCTATTAGGACAAGTAGTCAAAACAGAATTAGAGTGACAGCTGAGGTATGCGCTGGCTGAGGGAGTGTTAACGCAGTGGCACAAAGCAGTAAACCGTCTTAAATGGATTTCTCAATATTTCATGCTTATTTTGGAGATTGTGGGATTTCTTAAGTGCAAGCAGACAGAGAATGCTAACAAGACTGAGCCTAACAGATTAGTGTGGTACCGCTGCTTTTTAGGAATGTAAGTAATAAGCACAGAGGGAGAGAGATCCGGGCTGACTGCTGCGCTCACAGATGGAGCCGTTTGAATCCACAGAAACACTTTGATCCCATGTCAGATTCTCTGTTTAATCCTTGATGGTGTTTAGTTCAGATGAAAGTAATAAGGCAATTAATGAATTGATGAACATAAGTTCGTCTGAAGGCTGAGTTTTTGATTAAAGCAAATCATGTGTCAGTTACAAATGTTTTACGTCACCTTTGTGCTGTTATTATGTTGTGACACCTTATACACATGATCTCCACACAAGTCAAATTCATGATATCAGTACACATGTCTCTGCAAGCTGCTCAACATGCTGTCTGGTGTATTAACTCTCCCTGTATCTCTACCAAAAGGAGCCTAAAACAGCTGTGAATGCTGGTTAAATCAATCTCTGGATGTGTTTTTGAGTGTTAAACTTAAATTAAGATTTCTCTTTTACATAACTAGTCCTTCAATTATTCCTTTATTAGTCGCACATATTTCATCTTCTAGAGTAAAACATCTGATCCAGCTATATTAAGCTAGAGAAACAAAACATGTTTGATTGGTTTCCGGCTTTCCGCTATTTTCTTTATCGTGGAACGATCTTTAAAAAAGCAAGCTCATCCGTGAGTGAATTTACAAACACTTCCCGGCTAAGTACAACTAATTGAGCTGCAGAAAAAATATCCTTTTTTTTGGCAAGGCAAACACATTTCGAAAACGTATTGATCTGTTTCTTTATTCTTTGCTTGTGTATTTCTCTGCTTTTTAAGCTGTGTCTTCAAAGAAAAGTGCTGTGCATCAATACTTATTTTATATTCAGTTGTATTCTCTATATTTGAACGCTTTTCCAGTATACAAGAAATAAACAACACATGTCTTTATCACCAAAAGAACACGATGATGCAACTCCCTGCATGCTGTTACGACTGTAAAGCTGCCCGAAAGTTGCCCTCTTGAAGCTAAGGCGCCGTTTACACGAGGAGAAAACTGCTTGTATCTGCATAGTTTCGCGTGCGTATAGCCCTATTATTTACACGAGGCCGATAGAAACTGACCCCACAAACGATAACGGGTCCCAAGGTGGATAGATTTGCAAACGAAACGCTCTGGGGGGTCAACCGAGTCCGTGTAATCACCTCTATACGAATATCTCCTGAAAAAATAACGATAGCTCCACCTCTCCCCACCTCTCCTGCTCACTGCTGTAGCATGGCTGTGTTAATTAAACGCACAAGGGGTTCTTGAATGAAATAATATTATAAAAGGCAAACCAGAATTGTTAACGCCCAATATACTCCTTAAACAAAATAAACAGAGTCAGATTTCATGCATTGATCCATTATATTGACAAAGGAGGATCTCACCCGGTGTTTGTAGAGAATATCTCTCTGAGCGAGTCCTCTCCACGGAGACATGCTCCTCCTCCTGTCAGTAGCTACTGCTAGTGCTACTGCTACTGACCATGCTACAGATATTAGTGCAAAAATATACAGCTCCTCTACCACAACCATCAGCAACAAGTGGACATGGAGAATTACATGAACTACATGTTGCTAAATCCACGGCGGGGCGTAAACAGAAGGGTAGCCATGGCAACATTGCTGCGGGGCTGCTGCGGAGTCTTCTTCACTGCTTTTGGTGTATTTTGGCGGAAGTTACAGCGCCACTTACAGTCCCGGCATATGTACTACAGCGTTTCCAGCGGTCTCGTTTGAACAGACACGTTAAATGAAACAAATGCATGTGAACGGAACACTTTTTTGAATACGCATACTGTGCATAAACGCAAACGGTCCCGTGTGAGCGGGGCCTCAGTTAAAAGGACATATGTGATACACTTCATATACATCGTTGTTAGTGTGCACATGGTCCTTTATAGACTGTATCTTAACTTTGCTCAGGGCTTGCCTTTCTGTCCTTTCTACTTCTAGTATTGCCTATGTATTGTTCTCTTTCTCTTCTCTGCTGCTGCCTTTCCTGCCGGGAGCTTTGATCTCATTGTAATGCAATGAAATCTTCACTGCATGACAAAGAGGGAGAAAGAAAGGAAAGGAGTAAGAGAAAATGAGATGGTGTAGGGAACAGGACTGAATACCAGGAGGTAGCGAATGCCAATAGACAGAGAGAGCAAATTGCTTTTGAGCCGGTGAGACAGAAGGGCAGAAGACAAGATAGACTTCACGACGTATGAATAGAGATGACAAGATGTTCTGAAGCCGAAGAAAATAAGGATTTAGAGGGTTTTGCTGGATTTGGTTTGGTCCCTCATGTAAAGAGGGGAGGGAAGACGAACAGATATGAAATATTCTCTCTGAAGAATCTCCTGCCAGCAAGTCTTCAGTATGCAGAGAGAAAGAGGGGAGATGTGTTGAGAGAGATCGAGCTGGAAGAGGAGAAGGACAAGAAGCCATACAGAGAAGAGAAGAATCAGAGGAGATGAGGCAAGGTATACTCAGGATAAAGAAGAGAATAAAGAAGGAGATTGAGTTGGATGAGGGAAGGAGGTGGGAAGGGATGTACACGATGAAGAGAAAGAGGGCAGGAATATATTCAAACAGTGACGGGAGGTTAGGAAGAAGGAAAGATACTGAATAAAAGTGAGGAAGGTTTAGCAGGATGGGAGGTATGAGAGAAGTGGGGAAATGAAGATATAAAGAGAAGAGGTTAAAAGCAAAATACTGACAAATATGAAGAGAAGATTCAGATGTGACTATATTAAAACAATTATACCTGTTTTCTATGGAAGTCGAGGCAAATTGAAAGCAACTGGTGCCTATACAAACTAACACTTACAGTCCATTACATTAGTTTAATGCGTGCCTGGCCTTGTGAAAATGCTTCACATTTGAACATGAGATGCTGAATAGACTGATTTCCTTTTGTCCTTGTGATGCTGCCAATTCCCGACATGTGTTCAATTTGCATATTATTCAGTGTCTCTTCATTTTGATCTTTGAGTCTTAGATATTTTAGGCGTCAAGTATCATAAAAGTATTGAAGATATCTTAAAATGATCTTCTTTAAATGTGCAGATGCAATGCAGACAAAGGCAGGAAGGATGAGAGCAATCACAAAGATAACAAGTGAAGAGCAAGGAAGATACAGACAACTACAAGTTAGGGGAAGGTTAACACACGGGATGAAAGGATTACAGACTGAAAGAGACAGATGTTGAGATGCAAGGGAACAGATGAGTGAAAGGGAAGGAGGTGTTGAGTACAGTCGTCTTCTGGAATTGGAAATTGATGAGGGGCGAGTATGAGAAAGAAAAATGGAGTCAAAGGGGAAGATGGATACAAAAGGGTGAAAGAAATAAGTGGAAGTTTTGAGGAAAAAAGGCAAAGTGCTAAAGAGCCCGAGGCCAAACTGATATACGGGGGGGGGAGTAGAGGGGTGAGGCGGAAATATTTGACTGCATTGCGTTTGTGGGAAGTTTTTAATCAGGGCAGCTGAAGCAGAAAGTGGCAGCAGACACATTCTACACACACTCATAACATGAATGCCTCATTTATTATCTATCTCAATTGTTCATACAGTAGACCTATTTTTACTTCAATATGACATTCAGTTTTTAAGAACCGCATAAAATATTCTTTAGACCAAAGTAAAAAAACCTGTATATATGTCTTGTGTGTGTGTGTGTGTGTGTGTGTGTGTGTGTGTGTGTGTGTGTGTGTGTGTGTGTGTGTGTGTGTGTGTGTGTGTGTGTGTGTGTGTGTGTGTGTGTGTGTGTGTGTGTGTGTGTGTGTGTGTGTGTGTGTGTGTGTGTGTGTGTGTGTGTGTGTGTGTGTGTGTGTGTGTGTGTGTGTGTGTGTGTGTGTGTGTGTGTGTGTGTGTGTGTGTGTGTGTGTGTGTGTGTGTGTGTGTGTGTGTGTGTGTGTGTGTGTGTGTGTGTGTCAAAAGATGCCTCTAAGATGAAATAAAAATCATGCGATCCCTCAGGGCAGCGCAGACTATGGACCATCAGACCCTTGAACACATAAAAGAGACAACCAAACAAAGTGGAAACACAAACCCCAGGGTTACATCACACTGCTGCTGAGCCACTACCCAACCAAGACCAACTCACTTCAGGCGAAAGGACACTTCTGGTGCCACTGAAGTCACTTCAGGCAGTATCCTTTACGTATCTTATTTGAATATTATAAAATACAATTCAGAAGTGAAAATAAAAGCCCAGTCACAATGTCTAATGAGATGCAGTGATAGATCTACATCAGTAGTCATCTTTCATGGTAACAATGTCCTCACTCTCCTTCAAGGTGATCTAGATCAAAAACATCAATTTGATCAGCATCACCTCACAAAGACACTCTGTGCATTATAATGGCACCAAGCACAGACCCACAGTGTCTCTGTTGTGCAGACTGCAGACTGGACTTGGCTGCAGACGCTTTAATAAGGTGTTACATCAAATGTGTTTGTGACCTTCAGTAAGCTGCCTGTTACAAGCTTTCTCGTTTGACTGAACTTTTGTGTTTCTGTGCTTTCTCTCTCCACAGATACACAAAGATGAAGACAGCTACCAACATCTACATCTTTAACCTGGCTCTGGCTGACTCTTTGTTCCTGGCGACTTTACCTTTCCAGGTACTACCTATTCCACGTTTTCCTCAAACTACTCTTTTTGCCCACTCTTAAGATTAACTTAAAGTGGACCTGGATAATCATGCTATATTATAATAATATAGTGTAGGACCATACCTATATAAGGCATATTTATACTTTTTTTTTTTCAAAATACCAAACAGATCATGCATTTTAGCCATGCCTCATTTTGCTCAATTTGCACTTATTTAGCTCTGTTTTAGCAAGGGCTGATTCTGTGAGAACAGCACCACCTACAGGCCTGGCATATGTACTACAGCGTCTCCAGCGCTTTCGAACGGCAATGGCCGTGGCTGTCTCCTCCTGATTGGTGGAGTTGGCCCAATAGCCGTAGCGCCACTGTCCTGACGTCAGGACAGTGTTCAAATCTGGATCAGTTTTTATCAGATCTGTTGCAGCCCCTTTTTTGGAGATTTGGGTATGGAGGAAAATAGAGAGGGTTGTGTTTTCTGACACTTGGTGAGTTCCCTGGACACATATTCATGTATAAAAGACGTACAAAAGTGCATTTTGCATGATAGGTCCCCTTTAACTTAAAACAAAAATATAAATGAATGTTTAGTTGGTAACAGATACTATACAGTATAAGATTTTAGGCGGCAGTACTAGGCACTTGGCTTGGGTACCGAAGTATTGCCGGTTCAAGTCCTGATTGGACCAAAAATAGTGTTGACTGGTAGCTGTAGAGGTGCCAGTTTGCCTCCTGGACATTGCCGGTTGTCCCTTTTGCTCTGCCACCTCGTATGTGTGTAATGTGGGCCTATGTGTGTAATTATAAAATGACACCAGAGTGAAAAGTGGAATTTCCCCTCGGGCAGGGGTTTTCAAAGTGTGGGAAGGTGAGCCTCCCCTCAGAGAACATAAGAACAGCCGCGCCCCCCCTCCCAATTATTATTGCTATTATTATTATTATCATTGTTGTTGTTGCTATAATGCAGGGGGGTATTCAATTGCATTTCAAAGAGGTCCAGTAAGATAAAATGAAGACTGTTTCTCTCCTCTTGTCTCGTCTCTGTGTGTGTGTTTGAATCTATCGTGCTGGCTCACTGACTGCACCGATTTGATTGGCTGAGTAGCGTCACCTCCTTAAAACATTAAACAATAACTTTTTTAAACCTTTTTATCTTTATGTTTTAAACATATTGTATACAACTCCCCCACTACTTGGACTATTCCTTGCACCCCTCTAGAATAAGCCCGAATGGTCTCAACCATATTGCATCAGTAACGTGCACTTTGTTGTTATCGTTATAACAAGATCGCAAGGACACTGGTAGCGATCGGACAATTGAGTGTTGTTCAGTTTGTGTGTTGTGGAACATGCGTGTCTGTGCACGAAAATATACCACACACCCAATTACAATAGCATGTTCAATTCACTACCCTGGAAGTTAATAAAGTTGTTAAAGTTGGAACAGCCTGTGGACAGCCGTTCTTCCTTGCATGTCAGTCGCCGACACCTTCTTACAGAGGACAGGCAAATCTAGCTGCAGCACGACCCGTATATTTTCGCACGCCGTGTTCTCAACACATATTTTTAAAACATTTTCAACATCGTTGATACATCCTTATATGTTCCCGGCAACACACTGAACGTCAATTTTGCCTCCTTATTACACTCACCCCTACTTTAGTGGGAACAATGAGTCTGCGTCTTTGATGCACACAGGAATAAACGCAGATCATACTCGGCACTTGATTTTGATCAAAGTCCATGCGGAAAACCCGCACTCACACAGGTGGGTGGAGGTGAAGGGAATGAGCACTTTTACAGCCTTTTTGGCGAGGTGGGGGAACTCGGTCTCCACAGACAGCCAAAAGTGGGCAAGTGTCACTTTTCTCATCTTTTCTCGTTATTTTTTGTCTCACGCTGCGCCTCCCCTGAAGCTCTCTGGCGCCCCCCAGGGGAGGCGCGCCTCACACTTTGAAAACCGCTGCCCTAGGGTATTAATTAGAAATATGATGTGTAAACTTCCAGATGTGGTACACTCATTTGTTTACCGATCATATCAGGCATTACTCTGCCTTAAAACCCAAAGGGGCTGTTGTGTTTAAAGATAGGAAGTTCAAACGAATGTCAACAAACACCATCACAGCCTAACCATTAATTAAGTTGTACAATTAGCATTCTGCTCATGTGTTGTGCTGCTGCTGGTTCAATTAGTTTGACAAGATTACAAGTGACATCAATATTTGTCGCTTTGGTAATGGCATCTTTTTCAAAGCCTTGTGCATCCTTCAGCATGGCTTCCTAGTAACTCTATGTGATATCACTCAAAAAGTACCCTTGTTCTGGTACCACAATGGGGTCAGGATTTATTGATGATTGATGAATTAGGGAACAAGATTATAAACAATGCCGATAAGCATTGAAACATGATTGCATTCTTAAAAAGGCAGCATTAACTAGTGAGTGATTGTACTGGATTTTACAAAAAAATGTCACTTATATTGTGTTATAACTACTCAGACATGAACTCTGACTGATATATTACTTAAAATACAACTTTGATTCTGCTGTTTCGCCAGCATCAGGGTTTTTATATGTGTATTCCACTTTATAGATAATTAAGTGTCAAAAGTTATATAACAGAGGAGATTGTATTCTCTGTTCTCCTTGCAGCTGTATTTATATGCTCAAACTTTGATTTATGGATGTTTGTTTTAGGGCACAGACGTGTTCCTGGGCTTCTGGCCGTTTGGGAACGCTCTGTGCAAAGTGGTGGTGTCTATCGACTACTACAACATGTTCACCAGCACCTTCACCCTGACGGTGATGAGTATGGACAGATATGTGGCTGTCTGCCACCCTGTCAAGGCGCTGGACATGAGGACTCCTCACAAGGCCAAGGTAAAACTGTTTCATTTCAAAGTGAGATATTTACCTCTTTAAATCCTTCACACCTTCTGTATTGTCCCTGCAATGGCCGACATCAGATCAGACACTTCAGCCCATGAATCCTTAAAAATGACTTTGTGTGTGCTGTCATGTTGGGAAACTCAAAAGAAATAAAGATAAACTGATACAGGCATCATTTTCAGATTTGTATACTAAACAAGTGGATGTGGCTGCAGATGTTTGAAAACTAGAAATCATTTTTAAATTGCGATGGAATGATAATTAAAATGAAAAACTCAGATTTGTATGATAATGTCATAGCCAAGCTGCCTGTTTAAAAAACAAAAATGTTTTATGTGCTTTTGCAGTCTTTACATTTAGTCCTTACCAAAAAGCCGAGAGTAAATAAAACAAGAGGTTTAATAATCATATAACTCATGATTATATGCACAGCTGTTGATGTGTCTGCAGCTGTGCACTAATTGTGGTGAATAAGAAATGCAGAACTCGTATTGCAGTGTGTTACATAATGTGTGTGGCCTGTTTATATATGTATATACTGGCATGAACTTTCATTCCTGTGGTAACCTCTAGATATACGGGTGTAAGAAAAGAAAAAAGTGTAACCCATTAGACCAATTTCTCCAACCGACGTTGACGAGTAAACCTTTTGTCCTGTAATGAGACCCTCGAGAAACAGACCTTTTCAAGTGCTGATAAGAAATGTCAAAATGAAGAAACACTGATTCAAACAGAAGATGATTTTCAGGATTCTGACAGCTCTCCTGCACAATCCTTCTCATCAGAGTCATTGATGATGTGCAAAACATAAAGAGATAACACCACTTAACTTAGAACCAAATTGATTTTACACATCAAAGTCTGTTGGGGATTACAACTGCACATTTGAACAAAGTTTAAAGTCATTTTGTGACTTCAAACTTATAGTACAATGCTAACTAATTGCTTCAAGTGATGTCACTTGCTATGATATAATCATTGCACACCCTACAGTAATGGATTCAAGGACTCCAGGCTTTTATTGTCATTTGTACATAGCTGCAGTGTAGTTATGTTGATGAAAATCTTAGGTCACATGCTCATCCAACAGTGCAACACAATACAACTGTACAAATAGTGCAAGTAAATACAATAAAATAGTTGCAGTTGGAGTGAATGGTGGGTAATGTAGGTGGCCTGTTTTTGTTTTTGTTAAGTCCAACAATGTTATAGATGCACAGTGCTTGATTGATTTAGTTATAGAGTCCTAGTATTGTAGTGTATTTGGTGTTCTGGTCCTGGTTTCCTACAACACCTTTTGAGGAAAGGTATACATTGTTCAAGTTCTAACTTAGATGTCATTGCTCAACAAGGTAAGATAATTGAAACTACTACTTCTCAAATGGTTATGCCTCAAGTAAACACAGGTATTGTTATTGTAAGTAGTAGTGACTTTTACTGTGGAATACTGGGCATACAATGGGACAGACTCACTGCCCTCAGAGTGCTTGTTATTAGCCCTTTTTATTCTTACACATTCAAATAGACGTTTTAAGCTTGAAGATTAAAGGGTTGAATGATACATGTAACTTTTTATTTTCTGTATGAGTAATTGGAAATCTATAATTGACCATCATGTTATCATGTCTTTAGGTGGTGAATATCTGTGTGTGGGTGTTGGCCTCAGCCTTTGGTGTTCCAGCCATGTTCCTGGGAAATGTTGAGGTGGAACAAGAGCATGGCAGTAAGTAATTGAGAGACACACACACACACACACACACACACACACACACACACACACACACACACACACACACACACACACACACACACACACACACACACACACACACACACACACACACCTTTTCGGCACCTGATCTTTAGACTCCCCAAAGAGTCAGAGGTCCCCATGTGTAAACAGACTGATGTCCCCAACTAGTGAAAACTTAAATCAACACACACACACACACGTGCTTGTAATGACCTCTGCATGTACACATTCTTGCACCTTCACCACAAATACATTTGAAACGAGCTGTCCCAGTTTTTATCGCTTCTCTTGCACAGCGTCTGACTAATAGCTTCAGCACACATCATCGCGTGATGCCTCTTCTTCTCTTTGGTTCCTATCAAACAAATACAGAGCTTTGACAGCCGGCTGCCTGCGACATTATACAATACTCCACATGGTGCTCCATGTTATGAACTTTCACACAGCAGGTGCATATTTATATCTACCAAAATAGAAAGAACATTCAGCTCGTGATCCATTTCTTTTTTTGCAGTTCAATCAGCAGAGGTGATAAAAAAACAACAGCATGAGTCACTGTGTTGTGATTATCAAAAGCTAAATTACTTTCAGTAAGTAGAAAGGAAGATGTGTTACAGCCTGTCGCACAAACTCCACATGAATGAATGTGGCATAAACACACATATGAATTGCGAGCGCCGGCATTTACATAAAATAAATATGCATGACTGAGATAAACTGAATCAGGAAAACACATGTAAATTCAATTAGCAGAAGCTCATAATTAAAGCATATTTTCAATCATTATTTGACATTGTATAACTAACACTTGTCATTCAATTGAAAAAGACTTAACAAAACAAACATTTACTATGACCATAACAAATAATAAAATAAATGTTTACGTTTCTGTTCAGACGTCAAACTTACCAAACACAACCTCATTGCATTGGTTCTGCATTTAAAGAGAATGGGATCCAACAAAAGTTCCACCTCGATTTGGAAATCTAACACACACTCAATTTAATCGACAGTCTCCAGAAGTTTCATAAATACATCTAGCGGGGCTCCCTTGTAAGATGCACAGCTGAATTCCATTTCCTGTAATGAGATCTCAGTCCATCAGGTGCTCACCCTCTCCCTGCAGGTTAACCTCTTGTGTGTTGCCCATCTCCTACTACATGCGTGATTTGATTAAACCAAGGTTCATTTAATCTTCCTGGTTCATCTCACTGTTTTATTAAAAGTTTGCATTTGTGAGACAGTTTATTTTGTGTTTGGAATAACTGCTCTTGCAGCAAATTGCAATGCCTGACTTCAGTTTTCATCATCATTCCTGGTTGCAATTTCCCATTAGTGTGTGAAGCCTGTATGAAAACGGCATCATTATATTTCTCTCTATGGCAGGCTGGTTCATCTTCTTGTCACTTAGGTTTGTTAAGGGGTGAGGAAGACAACCTCAAAAGTGGAATAAGAGCATGAACATGTGGTAAGAATTCCAACTGAGTTTAAGTTTTATGGATTAGGGTTATTACAAATATTTTTCTAACAAGCTCTTTACTACATGCAGCTTCTTACATAGTGTTCTTATGGTTTTGTAAGTTTCACTGTTACAACAATGTTCTCAAAACGAGACATGTCTGAATGAATTGCTTTTGGATAAGCGTATAAGCTTCAACAGCACAAGGTCCATATAGGAAAATAAATAAATGCACATCCTGTTTTCCTTCTAAAACAGAATACATATATAAAAAAATCAGCTGAGCAAACTGTGAATTAAGTTGATTGAAGTTGTTGAAATCCTTCAGATGCTTTATAAAAAATGTTTTCTCTCATAACAGCATGGGTCATATGAGGAAGTAATTTTGCTTAATCTCAGTAATAATCAGAAAGCACTCCCTCACCATATTTTCAGCGCTCTTTTATATTCATCAAGCAATATGAGCAACCATAATTTCTTAATTTTCACTTTATGCAGGAGCACTGTCAGGCATCATAAAAGAGGCAGCACATATTCTCTATCAAATACATTATGAATTGTTGAGGAGATCTTTTAGGGGATTCACAGTGGTAGGAGAGGCTAAGTGTCCCTTGCATTTGTCAGATATAGATTAAGGCTTCAAATGCAACATTTGTTTTAAAGGGGACCTATTCTGCTCACATTCAGGTTCATAATTGTATTTAGTGTCTCTACTGTGACATGTCTCCATGCTTTAATGTTCAAAAAGCTCTTTATTTTTCTCATACTGCCTGTGCTGCAGCACCTCCTTTCACCCTCTGTCTGAAACCAGAGCCCAGTCTGCTCTGATTGGTTAGCTGGCCGGCTCTGTTGTGATTGGTAAACTGCTTAGAGATATCCCGCCCACGTACACTCCAATGAGTCCATTGAAGGCGTTTCACGTTACACTTACGTTTGGATAATCAATCAATCAATGTTTATTTATATAGCCCAATATCACAAATGTTACATTTGTCTCAGTGGACTTCCCAGTTTGTACAGAATATCAGTATGACAATACGACACCCTCTGTCCTTGGACCCTCACATCGTACAAGGAAAAACTTCCAAAAAAGGAAAAACCCCACAGTTTAAAGGGAAAAATGGGAGAAACCTCAGGGAGAGCAACAGAGGAGGGATCCCTCTCCCAGGACGGACAGACGTGCAATAGATGCCGTGTGTAAATCGAAAAGATAATACATTTACAACATAGGTAGACCAAACGTTTGGAAATGCATGTGTCTATAATAAGAAGATGAATCTACGAGGATGTCAACAATCCTGTGGGAGTCATCAGGGAAGTAGTATGATGAAGGTCAGGCAGGACCGCAGTGACTGTTAGGGTTGGGCAAAGGTAGGACCCAAATGCAGACTTCAAAAAGGAAAAAGGTCTATAAACAAAAGGCGAGCTTTATTCCAAAGCCGATGAGCACAAAAACAAGGCATGAAAAAACATAGATAGCACAAGGTAGCGAATACAAACAAAACTGACCGTGACTGACATGGAGGGAGACAGGAAAAACCAACAATGAACCGACAAGGCACACAGGGGAAGACAAGACTAAATACAGAGAGGGGTAATCACAAGACAAGACACAGCTGGGGTAAGGGAGGCAGAAACACAAGGGCAACAGGTGAACACAATCAGACAATCAGACACACCAGGGAAACTAACGACAGGAAGGCAAACACAGGAAGAAGGAACAGAGAAGACACAAGGAGGAAAACATTTCAAAACAAAGGTGGAAAATGAAAACATAAAGACAAAACCGTAACAGTGACAGGTTCAGCCACGACTCGAAGTCCAGGACTCAGATCAGGACTCAGGACCCAGGATCAGCCACGACTCAGGATCCCAGCGTAGATAGACACCAAAAAGAAATTTGGGGGAAGCTGGGTTATTCGGAATAAAGAGCCATTACTTTAACAAAGACACAAGACCAGCATTATTACATTTCAAATATGTGAAAAAGTCTACAATTATGTTTGAACTTAAGCAAAAAGGTTGCAACTTCCTGGAGGACTCAAACCAAATACTGAAATCTATAAAAAGGATGTAAATGTCGGGAGGTTTGACCCTTATTCACCGACGCCCTTTGTTCATCTGAGTCTTTTCGATACCTGATAACACCGGATGGATAACGGCAGCTTCTTTCTCAGTTCGAAATAGACTCATTTAATTCCCGCTTATCAGCTTCTGCTGAGTGGATCCAGCTGGGTCCTTCGTCTCTACACACAGTACAATGTGTGCGTGTCTGTTTGTGTGTTTCAAGGCAGTGCATTTGCCTTATAGGGTTGTGTGAGAGTGATGATGAGCCTTTGTGTGTGTGTGTGTGTGTGTGTGTGTGTGTGTGTGTGTGTGTGTGTGTGTGTGTGTGTGTGTGTGTGTGTGTGTGTGTGTGTGTGTGTGTGTGTGTGTGTGTGTGTGTGTGTGTGTGTGTGTGTGATCTAAACGTTCTAGCAGCCTTGGATAGCATGACACACTTGCTGTTGGAGTTTACAGCTCGCAGATGGCAGCTATTTCCTAAAAAGGCCAAAACATTTAAAGAATTTTGTTCTCTTTCTACGGTAACAGGTGCACAGAGACTTTCATATGATCTCAATGGGGAAGTATAAATATTTCTACAAAAGCAAAGCATAAAATGTGCATCAAATGTCATCAGTAGTCAAACAGGGTTGTACATTTATACGAGTAAATGTTTCTTCAACAGCTTCTGGCTAATAAAACTACAGTTTCTGGCTTCTTTTCTGTTTTGGAACAAAATAAATCCCACACACTGCAGTTTTAACACTGTCTGTTTAGCTCACTTACTCATTTGGGTTATGACAAAGTGATCTTACAATTTATGACTTGTTTAGCAAGTTGGAAAGCAGAGGAAAGTTTCCTGCTCTAATTTATAATACTGTTGTTGTAATTTGCTTCTTAGTCCCTCCCATAGGGGATGCATGGAGAGACGCCAGAAAACTAGGAACATTATTTTTAGATAAGTGAGAAGTCCTTTCTTCTGAGGCGTCACACGAAGCCACTGTAGTCAAAAACAGCTGTAGAGACAAATGTGAACCGTGCCAATACTAATAAAGGCACATGGTTATCTGAAAGGTTAGGGAAATGTGAATGCATTTAGGAGACTTACGATGCACCCCAGGGTTGCCAGCTGGCATGCTGTGCGGACATGAAGACAGCCTGCTGCCTGGTGCTGCCCTGGCTGCACTCCCTTGCACTGTTTCACATTTCCATCGATAATGAACACTCTTAAAATGGATTTTGTTTGATTGATAGGGAGAACGAGCGAGGGGTTTGATTGGTTAGTTATGACAAACCCCACCAACTAGTTAGGGTTAGGGTTGTAAAGGACTGCAATGGCTCTGCGACAAACCATGACAGGTTTGTTTGGCAAGAAAGGTGTTGCTGCAATCTCAAAACGGTCTAAAAAGATATTACTGAAGCACATAATATCGTTACATTTTCTGGAGAAAAACATTCTGCTATCAGT